CCCTGCACAACATTAGCAGTGGTCATGACCACGGTGCGCTTTATACTCCCGAAAATAGGGTATTTGAAAATTAGGAAAATAAGCTATGGAAAGGTGACAGTTCGACGGTTTAAAGAAGCGGACTCTCACTACTTGTGCACAGTTTTTTTTTACTGAAAAAGCAAATCATAATACCTCCTGTAGTTCCGAGCCGTCCCGACAGAATGAGGCAATGTTCGCACCATCTCTGGAGAGCGCGAATTCTTGGGATGCTCATCTTTGGGTTCCCGGCTAATTCAATGATGAATTCGTGTTTAGGATAGATTGCTTGCGGCGGTATGAATAGATCTTCAAATCTGCTGTTATCTATGATAGAGAAAGCAGACCGTCCTGTAAAGACTCTATTTGTGAGAGAATTCCAGGAATAAGGCGTAAAGGCATTTCCTTTCGATTTGTCCGAATTTTTACCTGGCATGCATGGTCTCAGCTCGCGTAAGTATGGACAGCGTATTCGGCGGAATCGTGAGCGAGTGACTGTGATGCAAATTTCCATGTAGACCGCTCTCGAACATAGTGCGTTTATCTGATCTTCTGTCGTGAAGTCGTTTGACAATTCCATGATGTATCCATCGGCTGGCTTTATGATCTTTTTTCCTGCACACGCATCAATGAGTTCTCTTTCGGTGTAGTCTCGCTTCTGGAAGCCGCACCCTAGAATAGACGCGTGATTTGACGTCGCACGATTCAATGTTACAAAATAAAGAGAAAGCTTTGTAAGAATATTCTTCCATTTAAACAAGTATGTGAGCAATGGGTTCGCAAGACGCATAAAGTTTTTGGGAAGGTTACTCACCAAGTCTTATAAGACCGTCGAGGTGAGCTGGTGTAGTGGTAAGTCCACGCTTACCACGCGCGTGGACCTGTGATCCAATCTGGTCGGCTCCTACTCAGGCCAAGGCCTACACCCGATCGCAGGGAGACGGTGAAGTAGTTCCAGATTTGTCTGGGAGTACTGTGTTGTACAGCTGTTTGTCTGGCCCCGCACGTTACTGTGTAGACCATATCGCGTTCAGTATACTAGGATTCTGAATGGAGGTAGAGTGCGTGCGCATAACTAAAGAGCGAAGCTGTCCTGTCATCCTCTTTGAGGTCGTCAGCCATTCTTTTTACTATTCGTTCTGCGGCCGTGCACAACCGATCACGCCAGGCTACCATCTTTGCTGGAATGCGCCATAGACCACCGAGAACATCTCAGAGCAGTAGACTGGGTAATAGCATAAGCAAGTTTTAACGATACTCGTTGGCCCTCGCGCCTCCGACTGTGAAGCAGACGGCCAGTTGCTTACCCTTCCTCCGTTTCTTGGCCAGCGTCAGATTTCGGCCCCCCCGATGGCGCAGTCCTCAACGCGCTGTAACGCGCGTCGACGCGCTACAGATTGGCAATCATACGGCTCCCATAATACGCGAAACTCAGGGCAGATTGGGAAAATCGATGATACTGGCCGCTTCGATGTAATTGAAAAATATGGGGGAACAGCAGTGGCCGAATCACACGGTCTAAGGTAACTCAGTACGGCACGCGTTCGAAATTTGGTCTTGATAAAATAAAAGAAGAATGGGATGAGAGTATCTATTAGGTTGGCTAATAAGTAATGGCGGTTTTTTTTTCAATTGAAAAATTTGTTCGAAAAGTGAAACGTTTTGCAAGCAAGTTATATCATCTGATAGGAAACTTCTCGTAGTATAAGAATATCAAAAAAGCTTTGGTTGAGGATATAGTTTTTGTGAATTTTTTAGTCGTTGAAGTTGGAAGTGAAGTCGGCGAAAATTAGCATCTTCGACAACTGCCTCTATTTACGTCTACTCGAAGTGCTAAAATCGCTTAAGCTGCTCCATACATTCGGAAAAGGTTGAGGTAGAAGTCTCAGCAAGGGAATCTCAATAGGACGCTTTGGAACTAATTTCAAGAATTTCAAAGTTGGCAACCTTCACCTTGCCAATATTGGGCAGGCTCACGTCTGTTCCACCTGAAATTTCATGCTAATAGTTGAATTAATTGAATTTGAATTTGATATTCTAATACTACGAGAAGTTTGCTATTAAACGATATTAAGCTTGCTTGCAAAACGTTTTACTTTTGGAACAAATTTTTCGATTGAAAAAACGGCCATTACTTATTAGCCAGCCCACTGCTAGTGGGCTGGCTAATAACTGCTAGTGGGCTGGCTAATAAGTAATGGCCGTTTTTTTCAATTGAAAAATTTGTTTCAAAAGTGAAAAGTTTTGCAAGCAAGCTTAACATCGTTTAATAGCAAACTTCTCGTAGTATTAGAATATCAAATTCAAATTCATATTCAAGCTGTTACGCATGAAATTTTTAAAAAAAAAGAGGCAAGTTGTCGAAGATGCTAATTCGCGACTTCACTTCCAACTTCAACGACTAAAAAATTCACAAAAACTATATCCTCAACCAAAGCTTTTTTGATATTCTTATACTACGAGAAGTTTCCTATCAGATGATATATAACTTGCTTGCAAAACTTTCACTTTTCGAACAAATTTTTCAATTGAAAAAAACCGCCATTACTTATTAGCCAACCTAATACACATTGTGTTAAGCTGCTTTTATATTGTATCCCCTATCTCTCGGAATGCAAGCGGCAGGCGCCGATCGAATTCCCGTGCGGCTGCTTTCGCGTCTATAGAATAGAGGTGTTGCAATACAGCGCGTCGACGCGCGTTACAGCGCGTCACCGTGTTGGCTTAGCACTCCCTAATGGCAATCGCGTCCCCTTTCGCATTCGACTCTTCTCGTCCTTTCAAGCATGAATCATGAGAGAATCTGGTCGGCAGCAGATGGGATTAGTTACATACATTGGGGCTCAACATGCGGTGTTTCAGAGGAGAGGCAAGCTAGCTGTGGCAAAATTAAGAAATCACCGATGTATAATAATTGCTACGTTGCGGATTGTTCTGGTTGACTGGGACTACTTTTTTCACCGGTATACTTGTTCCCCTACTAGCATGTAGCAAGTTAATCGATAATTTTTGAAGAGATGATAAGAGAAAGGTAGTGTGATTAAGCATCCAGGTGGTAGACATACATGCATGGTTAGGAAAGCGTCATCCCATTTCAAAAGTCAAAAGAAAATAGAAAGAAGATGATATTGTTGAGACTTACCAAGTTCAGCTGATAGCGTACAAGCAGGACACAGTAGTCTGAGCTTTGTAATAATTAGAGTTGGAAGACGAGGGTTTCCGCTAATTTCGAGGATCAATTCTCCTTTTGGGAATTGGAATTCCCAAGGAATTTGAAGCGTCTCGAATTCCCAGTTGTCCACAATCCGTATAGCTGGCCGACCTGAGAACAAACTTAGGAGAACTTCATTATTACTCATGAAAGAAGAAAAAAAAACTAGGAACGAGCCAAAAATCACAGTCCTTCAAATCATTGCTTGATATTCTTTGACTCAGGTACCGAGCCAGTGCAGACTAAGGCTCTACGCTCCTGTAGCTGCCATCTGCCCTGTTCTAGAGAATTTTCTCAAATGACTCTGCGCTGAATTCCCACCCAGCAAAAGTACTCCGTGAAAATGTAGAAGCATGTGGAGAATCGGTTCCGATCTGATACTCAAGGCCTAATAAAGTGATGAGGCTATTCCCTGTTACGAAGTGACCCTTTCCTAGAGGAACTGAGCAGGAAAGACCCCGCAGGCCGAGTGATCGCCGCTATCGTACTCCTCGTGCCTGAATTAATTCCCCTAGTCGAAGGTGTCACCCCATTATGCCGCTTTGACAATTACGAGTGGAAGCCTGCATCTCAACCCCAACAGGCATCTATGGGAGGTCTTGAAGGAGTTGTCAGAGGAAAGAAGTCTATCAACACGATGA